AATTTTCGACCTGAATTTGAATTTAGGCCTACATCGGAATTTCGATCCTAACCAGTTTTTTGGGTTGGGATTGGATTTCAAGTATGAATTAGAATTTATTTAAAGTTCCATGAAGTGAATTGGGAAATTCAAAGTTGTTTCTTCAAAATTATCCAAGCTGGAAGAGATATCCTTTTCTTTTTGGCCCGAAGTCCCTCCTCGGAAACTATTTTAAAATTCGCACTAGCTTTTATGATAGTCTTAAATAATCAAAGTGAAATGATAGTAATGCTTCAGCAGCAGCAACAGAAGTCAGAGAAGACAAAACATTAGGTTTACTTTTCCAAGTTCAATGTTCAGGATTTTCTAATGGAGAAAAGAGTGTTAAAGCGATGGTTCTTGAATTTTGTGACAAATAACTGTGAGTTCAATCCCTGGTCCAGGTGCTAGAGACTCAAATTCAGTGAAAACAGATTATAAGTGAGTAGTACTAAATAATAAAAAAATATTCATAAACATGGATGAAGAAAGAGAACAGTCTACCCCCAGATATTAAATAATGATAACTCCTGATCCAAGAAAGTTCGACATAAATGTTTTTTTTTTTTCTTTTTAAATTCGGTTTTCTTCCATTTTCTTCAGTTTTTCTTAACTTTTTCTTCATTATTGTTCCGATATACCATTTTCGCTTTGATTTTTCGTTTAATTTTTTTTTGTTGTCTTCAAAACTTAATTTTGTTCTAAAGATCCTCATACTGCTGGATAACCAGACGAAGTGGCAACCATACATATTCCATTCTATATAAAAAAAAAAGTGTTTCGAATCATTTCTATTGATTTTTATCATGCAGCAGGCAAATCTAGCCACTTACAAAAATATCACTTCCTCTTTACAATCTTCGTAATTTTTTCTCTTTCCTTTGGCTTGAAATACTTCAGGTATTATTTTGTTAACAGACAGACACGACTAAGAGGGGGGTACTGATTGCGTCAATTAAATTTCTCACTCCTGTCTTGAGAATTTATTCCGTCGAGAAAGGACAGATGGACAGTAATCTGACTGCAACGGAATTGATAGTTGATAATAGGAAGCAACTTGAATTTCTACAGAATACCTTCCACATTTGTTAATCAAGGATTTTACAAGTCTATTAATGAAGTTTCCAAAATAGTACCTGTAGTTTCATTATACTAATTGATAGACATAGTAAAAAGAAAAACAAAACATAGAAAGCTAGCGTACGTTGAAGTTAATCTAATTAAAATAAATATTAAGAAGGATTGTCGTCATTCTTTGAAACAATAGCATTTTAATTAAAACTTTGATGCGTATTTGGAAAGTACATTTTCTACACTACTTTTCTTGTATTCTTGTAAGTCATTTTTATAAAGTAGTATTTGTTTTTGTTTCGATGCAAGGTCAATATATATTTTAGATTTACCACATAATAAACTCGTTAAGGATATCATTAAATCCCTGAGAAAATTCTTCTCTTCATTTGTATTTTTAATTGCATTGTCGTTTTTGTATTCCCCTAGGCTTAGGCAATTTGTGACGAATGTTAACGTATACAACTCCTAATTTGAATTTGATTACAGACTTTTTGTAGCAGAACTCAATACACCAACCACCAAGATACCTGACATCCGCTCACATAGACTATGAAAGGCACTTGGGTACAACATCCAATCCTTTAAAAATGAGAGTGTAAGAATAGAATTATGTGATAAATGAGTGCCAAAATGATGTCCTTAAGTATTGACCAAAACAACAGAGAGGAATCAAATAATGCAATCGTTAGCTGAAGCACGTAAGACTATTCCTAGAATATCTAGCTAGGAAAAGATCCTCCCGGGGGACAACAATCCTGATTTGAAAAGATCATGAAAGAAACAATCAGAAGAGGATGAAAATAGAAGAGAGAATAATAGACAATTAACAACAAAAATAATAAATAAATAAAAATATTGAAAGCTCTGAGAAACAAACCAAATTAACGAAGCATAGACAGCATAGACAAAGTGCTGAAATGTGGAGAAATCACAATAACATCATACAATCGAACACAGAAGAAATGTACTGGTCCGCAAAAAAATAAATAAATAAATAAAATTGAGTCATATTTCAACCCTGAGCGCACTATGCTGAAGGTGCCCCTGGAAACTATATATATAATATATATATATATATATATATATATATATATATATATATATATATATATATATATAGTTCGTTAGTTATCCGGCCTTCCCTGACGAAACCTTGGTAGGCTTGTCTGTCTCTCTAGGTTTAACTAGATCTGCTCTACTCACTGCATTGAGCACTTTATTTACTTGTTTTGCCTACTCGCATCGGAGTTTTTTTTTCTTTGGGCCTTGGACTCGGATGCTAGACGATTATTTTCGGCTAACGTACATGTCTTTGTTTCTTTCTTTTTTTATACCTTTTTTTTCCCTTTGGTATTGGCTTGTTTATTTGCACATCAATATACCGAAGGTTTTCCGAGCGAGTATAGTTTCTTATACTTATAAGATTTAATAATAATAATAATAATAATAATAATAATAATAATATATATATATATATATATATATATATATATATATATATATATATATATATGTGTGTGTGTGTGTGTGTGTGTAGTATAAATTAAATTTAATTTAATCCGACATATTTTAGTAGATACTCATATCTCAGTAGACGCTCGGTTTATTTTCAGCAGTACTTCATTTCTTCTACCGACCTGCGTATTCGAGAAATTTATAGAAAATGCTCGCTTCGTTCCACATTACAGGCGAGTCCGCCATATGATCCGACGTGTTTTGACTTCACGTAAATGTGGACACAAGTTCGCCTCCTACCGGATGGTGCATTTTCTTTAATATTTGTCTACGAATGTGCAGGCTGGTAGACGAAACAAAATACTGTTTAAAATAAACGGAGCTTCTACTTAAATACAGGTATTTAATAAAAATGTTTAAAGTAATATATATTCAGGGAAGGGGAATAGCCTTGTAATATTAGTAGTAATAGTCATTGTTTACAAATTCGCACTTATCTTTCAAGAGTGCACAACCGAATTTAAGTTTTTCGGGTGCGTGTATATTGTCATCCACAGACAGACTGTTTCGCTATATCAGATCTCATCAGTGTAGCTAGACATCCGACTGCTTCCAACCGGGATCGAAAGCAGACTGATTCGGCAACAGTCGGAGATTTCCGCCTACGCCATAGGCGCACGTCTGAAAGAAAGGCGAATTCTTACGTACTTACTCTGTGAATAAACACATCAATGACTGACAGTGCTCAATTCAGGCAAGGGAAGAGTCTTGTAATATTAGTAGGAATAGTCATTATATATATATATATATATATATATATATATATATATATATATATATATATATATATTACGTTAAATACTAAGATGTTTTATACTGCTGAATTTGTATATATGTAAGTAAATAATTCTATATATATGTACGAAATTCATAGAAATAATGATGCACATATGCACACAATTATAAGTACATACACAAATATACAATATATTTACAAACACATGTGTAATATAAACGTACACGCCTAGACCGACATTTGTAATGGAACATTAAACAATTCAAAGATCTTAACTGCTATTCACAAAAAATTACATTTTACATTAAACTTAACTTGGTGTAAACCACGCACAAACGTGTTTGCAATCAAAGAGAAAAGAATATATATATATATATATATATATATATATATATATATATATATATATATGTGTGTGTGTGTGTGTGTGTGGCCTTTTAATCATTATGGAACATTTGATTTCCCAAGAAGACATGTCTGTTTCGGAAATGGAAAGCTTGACTTTGATCATTATATCCAGTCTCACTCACAAAAAAAGAAAACTTCCAACTTAATCAGCACACCTCATTTACCACAGCCAAGGTCACAATGTCCGCAAAGGAACTCCATAAAATTTCTCATGTGTTTATGGCAGGTGCTTCACCACGGCTGAAAACAGTTTTGAATTCAGATTTATATTTCTCCTAGACAAATTGCCAACCAGGGATGGTGGGAGAAGAGGGTGAACTTTCTTCTTGATGGATTGCCAACCAGGGATGGTGGGAGAAGAGGTTGGACATTCTTCTTGATGGATTGCCAACCAGGGATGGTGGGAGAAGAGGTTGAACTTTCTTCTAGATGGTTTGCCAACCAGGGATGGTGGGAGAAGAGGTGGAACTTTCTTCTAGATGGATTGCCAACCAGGGATGGTGGGAGAAGAGGTTGAACTTTCTTCTTGATGGATTGCCAACCAGGGATGGTGGGAGAAGAGGTTGAACTTTCTTCTTGATGGATTGTCAACCTGGGATGGTGGGAGAAGAGGTTGAACTTTCTTCTTGATGGATTGTCAACCAGGGATGGTGGGAGAAGAGGTTGAACTTTCTTCTAGATGGATTGCCAACCAGGGATGGTGGGAGAAGAGGTTGAACATTCTTCTAGATGGTTTGCCAACCAGGGATGGTGGGAGAAGAGGTTGGACTTTCTTCTAGATGGTTTGCCAACCAGGGATGGTGGGAGAAGAGGTTGAACTTGATGGATTGCCAACCAGGGATGGTGGGAGAAGAGGTTGAACTTTCTTCTTGATGGATTGTCAACCTGGGATGGTGGGAGAAGAGGTTGAACATTCTTCTTGATGGATTGTCAACCTGGGATGGTGGGAGAAGAGGTTGAACTTTCTTCTTGATGGATTGTCAACCTGGGATGGTGGGAGAAGAGGTTGAACTTTCTTCTTGATGTATTGCCAACCAGGGATGGTGGGAGAAGAGGTTGAACTTGATGGATTGCCAACCAGGGATGGTGGGAGAAGAGGTTGGACTTTTCTAGAGTTTGCCAACCAGGGACAGTGGGGAAGAGGTTGAACTTTCTTCTTGATGTATGGCCAACCAGGGATGGTGGGAGAAGAGGTTGAACTTGATGGATTGCCAACCAGGGATGGTGGGAGAAGAGGTGGAACTTTCTTCTAGATGGATTGCCAACCAGGGATGGTGGGAGAAGAGGTTGAACTTTCTTCTTGATGGATTGCCAACCAGGGATGGTGGGGAAGAGGTGATGGGAACTTGATGGATTGCCAACCAGGGATGGTGGGAGAAGAGGTTGAACTTTCTTCTTGATGGATTGCCAACCAGGGATGGTGGGAGAAGAGGTGGAACTTGATGGATTGCCAATCAGGGATGGTGGGAGAAGAGGTTGAACTTTCTTCTAGATGGATTGCCAACCAGGGATGGTGGGAGAAGAGGTTGAACTTTCTTCTTGATGGATTGTCAACCTGGGATGGTGGGAGAAGAGGTTGAACTTTCTTCTTGATGTATTGCCAACCAGGGATGATGGGAGAAGAGGTTGGACTTGATGGATTGCCAACCAGGGATGGTGGGAGAAGATGGATTGGAACCAGGGGATGATGGGGATTGCCAACCAGGGATGGTGGGGGAGAAGAGGTTGAACTTTTTCTAGATGGACTTTCTTTGCCAACCAGGGATGGTGGGAGAAGAGGTTGAACTTTCTTCTTGATGGATTGTCAAACTGGGATGGTGGGAGAAGAGGTTGAACTTTCTTCTAGATGGTTTGCCAACCAGGGATGGTGGGAGAAGAGTTTGAACTTTCTTCTTGATGGATTGTCAACCTGGGATGGTGGGAGAAGAGGTGGAACTTGATGGATTGCCAACCAGGGATGGTGGGAGAAGAGGTTGAACTTTCTTCTAGATGGTTTGCCAACCAGGAATGGTGGGAGAAGAGGTTGAACTTTCTTCTTGATGGATTGTCAACCTGGGATGGTAGGAGAAGGGAGGTGGAACTTTCTTCTAGATGGATTGCCAACCAGGGATGGTGGGAGAAGAGGTGGAACTTTCTTCTAGATGGATTGCCAACCAGGGATGGTGGGATGGTGGACTTTCTTCTAGATGGGGGAGAAGAGGTGGAACTTTCTTCTAGATGGATTGCCAACCAGGGATGGTGGTGGGAGAAGAGGTTGAACTTTCTTCTAGATGGATTTCCAACCAGGGATGGTGGGAGAAGAGGTGGAACTTTCTTCTTGATGAATTGCCAACCAGGGATGGTGGGAGAAGAGGTTGAACTTTCTTCTAGATGGATTGCCAACCAGGGATGGTGGGAGAAGAGGTTGAACTTTCTTCTAGATGGATTGCCAACCAGGGATGGTGGGAGAAGAGGTTGAACTTTCTTCTAGATGGATTGCCAACCAGGGATGGTGGGAGAAGAGGTGGAACTTTCTTCTTGATGGATTGCCAACTCTTGCAAGTTAGTATTTCTTGTAGGAATAGGAATGTAACGAACCCGATCGGAATTCGAACTCAACTGACCGATTTTTCATTGCAAGCAACAATTACGCTACATTCACATCCAATTTTAATAACTTATTTATTTCCTTAATTGTCTAATAAAAGTCAATTCACAAAAGCGAAATATTTTGTTTTTTACAAATAAATCTTCACACAAAAATGATAAAACATTGCGCCGAGTATTCTACATGAATTTATGCAATTTAAATACAACAAAAAATAAGTAATATCTGCCACTGATTTTCAGGAAGCCATTGAATTTGCTTTTTTTTTTTTTTCTTTTGTCCGTTTTGACATGCTAACAAAAACGGATGCCAGTACATAAAGCGAGCAAGATTCATTCAAGTCTCTGCAGGATGTCATTTTCTTTAGGCTTTTATGTCATTTTTACATCGTAAATTCGGGTTCTAAATATAATAAATTTATAGATAAGTTTCAGAAATTAACTTCGCTCACTGATTCTACAGTGGTCTTTAGGAGAAGAATTCGCTGCAATTCTTCATTTGTATTTAATTATTTTCGTAGGAAAATTCGTAAAATAAAGCCTTCTATTTATGAAACTAATTCATTGAGGTAAAATGATAACAACAAAATGCAGAAATCATGTCTATATGGGCGTATCTCTCCGCCCCCAATTCAAAACAGAATTTTACACACCGATGGCCAATGGTTGCAATGAATATAGTGCAATGGCGCTAAGTTGTTTATCACACACGTCGCCTAACTGGACTCCCATCCAATTTTTTCTCTATGCATTTATTCTGTATGTATCGATAAATGTCAATGACTCTAATTTTTCCGTATGGGGTAACTTTATGATAAACGCCCGCTTTCTACTTACTTTAATGCCAGACACTATTTGACTGACTACTGCTAAGCAACATTCTCATCGGTTATTGACGTGAATATTCATCTTGTATACTAATATATATATATATATATATATATATATATATATATATATATATAGGATTGGTGTATACGGAATAAATTCCAATAAACAAAAAATACTATTCTTATTCTAAAGCAGCTTATGTAGCAGCGTCTTCCCTATCGAGGGGTGTTTGTTCGATTTGAACCTTCTGAAACTTTTTATTCTACGTTCAACACCATCACTTAATAAGACGCCAGAAGTGTTGAAACAAAATGGCTATTTTTGTAGTGATTTTATAACATATTTATGTTATAATTTTCGAATAAATTATATATATGTGTGTGTGTGTGAATGTGTGTGTGGTAATAACATAAGCACATCCCATGTCCCGTCTCGCTTGTAAACATCCATCACAATAAAATAAAATAAACGCTTTTTCATGCTGAATAAGTCAAAGCTTCACAGAGTTGTTGCTATATTACAATATTTGTATGCAAGCTACCTCTTCCCGAAAATTAATTCTTTTTTACTTCTTATAACTTCATGAATGTATTTTTTTCCAGGTTTACTTTAAATCATTAATCTTTGTAAATCAATAAACATTAATATTTCTCAATTGTAACCATTAATCTTGTTTGTAAGTCTATAAAGACTGCATTTATTGTCATTTATAGGATGGTTATATTTTGGGGACTACTCTGTAGCCCGGTTGACATTAATTTTGCTTTAAAAAATACAGAACTGTATCATGCACATTCTATAGCGTGTATAAGAAGAATAAATAATGTCGGATTAAATATCCATCAATTATCGCGAAGCCTCTTCATGGGGTGCGGTGAAAAGGTCTATTCGCATTTAAGAAATTGCACCTGCAAATATTAATTGGCTGTGAACAGCGAGCAACGCGATCTGGTTTAACATCATGCATGGTCTCCCAAAGGATCGATAGCACGTCACTTTGCTGCACTTTACCTTGCTAGACGTAACCGAAGACAATACTATCCACAACATAGGGACACTAGTCTTTATATCCCTATTATATATGTCAAAATATTGTTTAAAATATATTTTAATCGTGATTTAATGAGCAAGTTCTAAGCAGGTATTGAACTGAGAAAGCATAGTATTATTTTAAATGGTTCCCACTCCGTGAAATAAAGTCACATTTACCTGCTTTTCCATGATTCGTTTATTCAGCAAATTCTTGGTAATATTTTAGCGAATACAAACAAGCGATATATGTTTGTCATTAAATTGACTTGTTGCAAACCCGTCCGTCCTAATGACATTATCGCCTTCCAGGGGATAAAATATATATATATATATATATATATATATATATATATATATATATATATATATATATATATATAAGCAACAACCTTTATTTTAAACATTTTCCGTTCGATAGATATGACAAGCAATTTTTTCAGCGTTCTTTTCCCTAAAAAATGACTTACAAGACACCATTCCTACAGTTAAATAAGGTGGGGTTAATAGTGGGAGAATATACATGGCCTCTCTTATAGGGAGATGCTTCTGGTAATGTGATTTATGTAGAATTATAGTGTTTTCGATCAGAATATTTTTAAGGGTTCTTGTAAATTGTGGATTGCTAGATGTTTTATAGAAATTTAATCAGATAAGTGACATACGAGGTGTCTACTCAATATATATATATATATATATATATATATATATATATATATATATATATATATACTTCTGTGTATATATATGTGTGTGTGTGTCTTTGCGTGTGTGTCTTTGCGTGTACATATATATGTATAGAAAGAAAATATATGCAGAAACGTAGGTAGATAGAAAATATGTACGCCGTTAAATTAGCGGATTTTGCAATTGTTTGAGTTTACTGAACAAGAGGTAACACATTTTTTTCTTTTTTCTTTTTTTTTTTTTTATGTGATGTGACATCCGTCAGCAGAAAACTCGACCCCAGACAGGAATTAGTAGAAAGTTGAATGTTGGTTGGTTAATTCCTCGCCGTTAAAAAAAAAAAAATCACTCAATACAGAAAATCTGACAGATCAACAAGAAACACATCCCTGATCTTTTGTTCTGGACTGTCGCTGGGTGGTCAGTGAATTCATCGGTAAAGGGAATCTCCTCGTCTGGAAATTCAACATCAGAATATAATGCTGTAAATACCGAACAATCCCATGATTTGACGGCCAGACGAAATAGAGATCTACAAAGGAGATACAAAGGAGATACTGTTCATTAATTCAACCCTTGTCTGATTTATAAATCTTTTTAACAGTTTTTTTTTTATTTGATCTTTTCTTTTAGATCTTCGTGTTCTGTGATTGTTCTCTCACTGCCAAACATTGAAATCAGAACCTAATAATCAATGTTATGAATGATCGTTCTTATTTGAAAAGAACCAACCATCGCTGAATTTTAGCATTTTGCCAAATTCCGTACACATTATTTCCGAAATTATTCCAAACTGCATTTCTTTTTACTCGCTACTTTTATTTCTCACAGCCTTTCCTGGCGATTATTTCTTTTATTTGTTTCTTAAAAAGTTTCATTTATTTCTATTTTGCCAATTATTCACGACACAATTCTTTGGTGTTTTACTTCTCTCGATTTAGTTTTTTTCCTCAAAATTCTCTCTCTCTCTGTCTCTTTATATATATATATATATATATATATATATATATAGAGAGAGAGAGAGAGAGAAAGAGAGAGAGAGATAGAGAGAGAGAGAGAGACAGATAGATAGATAGAGAAAGAGAGAGAGAGAGGGAGAGAGAGAAAGAGAGAAAGCGAGAGACAGAGACAGAGAAACAGATAGAAAATATCTAAAAAACGTATGTAAGATGGAAAACATGAAAACCTGTTGGTGTTTTTTTTATTGTTAACGTTTCGCTTTCTACGGGCATGTTCCAAACAATACAAACAGTCTAAGAAGAAATACTGTTAACATGACATCACAGTGGTTAATTTTAAACAATAACAATTAATAAAATAAAGAAATATCCGTGAGCAAATCAATGAGAATTATATATATATATATATATATATATATATATATATATATATATATATATATATATATTAACAATATCAGTATCAATATATATATATATATATATATATATATATATATATATATATATATAAATTTTCAAGGGGATAGAATCCAGATAAACTCAATGTCCAGGACAGAGTAAGAATATAATACAAAAGGCTCTAATACTAATATTCCATGGTTATAATTTATTACATTGGAATCGGAATCACGATCCAATTCATCAGACCTACAAATTCAAAACCTTTTTGAAAGTCTGATGAATTGGATCCTGATCCTGACTTTTTTTTTTATATAGTGCCGGTAGTAAAGTACTCTCAAAGTGCTACCGACACTTAAATGAATCCAATAAAACACCTACAGAAAAATGAAATTATGATGAAAAGCTAGAAGACGTAGGCCATTGAATGACCCATGTCCTTTGTACATACATGTGAAACTATACATTATTAAGTTTATAAAAAAAAATAAATGAAGTTTCCTAAATCAGAGAAATGAATGCCGTAATTGTCATAAATTTTACTTAAATAATATTTAAATATAAAATTTTAAAAATCGTAATATACATATTTATACTTGATATGGAAAAATAATTTTACTTACTGTAAGTAATTCTAATACATTTACTTCTTTTAAAAGAAATATAGTCTATTAAACCTAACAGTGAATATATTTTAAAGTTGTATTTAAAATTGTAGTTAAATAAAACGAATTCTAACCTAAACATCTTTTAAAATTGTAATTAAATAAAACGTATTCTAACCTAAAGACCTCCCTCTAAGTACTACAAGCACTTAAAAGAATCCAATAAAACACCTACAGTAAAATGAAATTAATATGAAAAGCTAGATGATGTAAGCCATTGAATGACCCATGTCCTTTGTACTTATATGAGAAACAATATATTACTTTGTTTATATAAAAAATAAAAGTTTACTAAATCAGTGGAATTAATTAGCTGTTTTTGCCGTCATTGTCATAAATTTTACTTAAATAATATTTAAATATAATTTTTTAAAAAAATTGTTACCTAATAATATACATACTTATACTTCATGCGAAAATAATTCTACATACTGTAAGGGAACATTTACTTGTTCTTAAAAGAAATATAGTATATAAAAAAATTAAAAGTGAAAATATTTTTCAAATCGTAGTTAAATAAAACGTATTCTAACCTAAACACCCCCCAAAATCTTTAAATATACAAATAGAAAAAATGCCGTAAGAATTTTTGCCGTTAACAATAAAATTTAAAAAAAAATCCAGACGGCATGCATTTAACGGATGTCAGATTTCATTGAAAAATACATCCCTACCCCTACCAAAACGTAACTAATAACGGATACATCAAAATACAGCGATAATGAACACGCAAACACCCCTTGTCTGGTTGAATTGGATTTCTTTGTTTCCTTGGAAACGTGAATTATGATTTTAGCTGTGTCTTTAAAACCCAGTAATTTTAAAAGTTACTCCAAAATTCGCTTGAGGATGAAATGGAACTAATGTCTTTAATTTAATTACAAAATTAAATTCGGAGCTTTCAGCTTCCATTTTTGAAACATGGTTAGAACTGTGTAGCGAAAGAAACATATTTTAAATCAATTAATTCATAAAATTAATGCTCTGTAAATTTACATTGAGCACTATTTTGTAAAAATAAAAATATCTATAAGAACTCCGGATTATATATCTTACTGTTCTTTCTTTTTATTTATATATACATATATTTATATATATATAATGAGAGAGAGAGAGAGAGAGAGAGAGAGAGTGTGTGTGTGTGTGTGTGTGTGTGTGTGTGTGTGTGTGTGTGTGTGTGTAATTCCTTGTTTGCAATTAAAATTGAAATAGAAATTGTTTAATATCTGAATATTTCGCCTTTCATCAGCGATTATGAAACTATTTTTGCTTTTGTGTTATGTTAGTTTCATCTGTTTTGAAATATCACGTTTTCACACGTCATATCGATTATCACGTCCTCACGTGACAATTCTTATTGTTCTGGTGATTCTTTTATTTATTAAATATATTCATTATGTTTGTACTTAAATTTGATAACATTTTATTGATATTGACTGTTTTTTAGAATTTACTGCTTCTAGTATCTGTAGTCGATTTTACAGTTTATAGGATAGACTAGTTTTGTCTAATTTTTAAGGATTTGTCGCATTAGTTTTTGTGATGAGTTGTTGTTTTCGATGGTGGTATGCTATTTAACTGAAGTATTATCGGATAATGAGATCTTAATGAAAGTTAGACGTATTCAGACTGGTTTAATAAATCATTTAAAGCATTTTTCTAGAAATCCTTGTTGATCTAAAATGATATTTTGTGGTATTAATTCATCGTTAAGGATTTTTCTTTTCTATTTATTTTATAAACACCATTTAAAATATTTTATTGGTCGTCTTAATTAATTATTTGCATTTTAAATAGAATTTGAGTTTTAATCAATATTTCTGAATGAAAAATATTTGTCGTTACGCATTGGCTGCTTTCGAATTCCTTTAGCCACATTTAAAAAAAAATTATTGCTGTCGTTTTTACTTGCTACTTATTTGTTGCATATTTATTCGTTATCCCCACTCCCCGCTTTGATCTCTTTTCTCGTGTCCGTTGCAAGAAAGATAAATTCAAGCTACCTGACCGCACTCGTAAGCAAAACTGCCGTAGAAATTAACACTGTAAATTTATCGGTTGGTTTTAAATTTTGTTCAACAATACCCAATAAAGAGTAAAGTGAAAAAAGAACAGAAAGTCTAGTGATTTGTAAGTCTGATGATATGGCCCCACCATCCCAACAAATCATTTTAAACAATGTGTTAACAATTTTGAGTTGACAAAATTCCTTAACTGATTTAACGTAATTATTATTATTTGGCTATTTTATCTTTTGATTTATTTAGATTGCTTTTTAACGGTAATCGCTTAGGTCGATTTTTAGATTCTACGACCGTTAAGGAAGTAACAGAAATCTGTATTAAAGAAGAAAATCTAGTCAAAATTGATATTAATGACAAAATATTAACATTTTAAAAAGTCAAGTTAATGTCTCAGATAATTCGATTATATCATTATATCATTCGAATTATAACATTCAAGTTGTATCATTGGGTTATATCATTTAGGTCAATAGCAAAACATATAGAATGAGAATGTTGTTTCTATTATTTTTTTAACGTGCAGTGAGTCCCGAAAAATATAAAAATAAAATATATAAACAAAAATAAAAAAGTATTGAAATTACAACAGGGCATTTGCGCTTTCCTTTAAAACCTTTCTCTCGTTTTTCTTTTTCTCTAAACTTCTATTTCGATACTTCTCCCAACCTACGAGAAGTCAACCGTCAAATAAAAAGAAGAAAAGGATGAACACGGCCCAAAACATCGGAGGTTTACAGGAGCAGAGCCCACTTATTTGTGATTGAAAAGTATAAAAAAAAATCAGGGCGGCTCCACGCATAACTTCCGTTATAAAAAAAAGGGGGAAAAATAAAGGAAACCCAGAAAATAAAATAATTTGGCCAATGAAAAAATTGACACAAAGAGACTTTTGAGTTAAACCAAAACCATTAACTCTGAGCTTATTCAAAATGACAGAAGACTAGAAGAACTGAGAGATGGCCAGACAGACACCCGGAGAAGACGGAACAAAAAGAAGTGGCCAGGCGTGATACGTTATGAAAGAGTTAAGGCGTCATCTGCTACTTACATTTTTTGTGATGTCAATGAATACTCGTTGCCACTTTTTGTAGTGTTAACGAATACTCGTTGTCACTTTCGTAATGCTCATTGTAGTAGAGACTTTATAATCACAGTTGTAACTATAGTACGTCGTTGAAGAATACTAGTGTCAGACGCCTTTGAATAGCACTCGCACTAATAGTAGTTGCTCGATAATACTCGTTCGAAAAGTAACCCTGTGATCTCAATAGAAAAATAGTATAGTGAATAGAGTAGAGAATAGCGGTCGATATAGTAATAGGGATTGTGACCAGTATAGTATAGAGGATTGACTAGAAATAGCGATTATTAGTAGTCAGCTACTTCCTACATATATGCGTTTCTTCTATGATCACGTGGTATTCAATAATGGGATCGCGTGCGTTTGCTCACTGACGATCTAAGTTCAAACTCAAGTGTCGGCAGCGACACTTTATTCCTATATAACACATTTGCACTCTGATCAGGGCCGAGAGAAAGCACAGTAGCTTGAAATCCGACCTAATGTCTGATTACTACTACCCCTATCATGGTCTGATTTCAAACTAACAAAACGGAAATTTCTTTAGACTGTTAATCAATATCCATCCTGTTAACTTCCGATAACATAATTATCCTATACCTATCCAAAAGAGCATCGTTCTGGATGTGAACACAATATGTCACTTACTCATAGTCGCACAGATCCTTCCAAAGAATTATTTTCCATCTATGTAGAATTGAAGAAAAAATTGTTTTGTTTTTTTTCTTTTGTTTTTTTACTTATTTAATAAAAGTTAAATATATAAAGTTATATTTTTATTTATTTATTTATGGTTTCAGATTGACTTATAAAAACGATATTCATAAAAAGATTTTAGTTCCTTAAATATGTTAACGCATGTCTTATTTAAAAAAAAAAAATTAAAAATCCATTAAATTCCATTCCGAACTGATTCAAATTAAATCTCTTCTTCAGGGAAACAATATAGGAATTCGATTTGAAAACTAAAATAAGTCGATTTTTCACAGATCATTCTTATTTCACGTACTTTACTAATTC